ATCTGGGATCTAGTTAATAGTTGAATGTCAACCCACGCCTGAACCTGCCGGATATTTTCAGAGAAATGCTTCAATTTCTCATACAAGATGTTTTACAATACCTTGTAGAGTGTATTTAGGAAAATTATTCCACAGTGAGCTCCATTTTTTTAGGCATTTGCTCCCCAGGCCAAATTTTAGATGCTATTTTTAGCATCACCTTGGTGATCTGCTCTGCACTGTGTTTAAATAACTCTGCTGGGATGCCATCTCTGCCTAGAGATTTTTGATTTTTTAGTTTGTTTATTGATATTTTCAGTTCTGCCACCAGAAGTAGGGGTTCCACAAATTCCTCATTTTAGTACTCCAGTTCTACTTTGTTAGTAGGTTCCCTTCCAGCAATGCTCAAAAGTGTCACCCATTGTAACATGATAATAGCAAAATTTTAGTTTTAGATGTGAATGTAAACTATAAGGAACTACATTGTTCAATATAAGATACATGTCTAGGAAAGTGCCAATTTTAAGATTTAACAGATGAATGTGAATCATGAATGATTTGTTGTATCAGATGAATTCGAATTGTGAAGATTATACATTTATTTAGACTTACTTTTATTTTCTGTCTCAAATGAATATTTGTCTGATTCATCCTTCAATTCTGTGAGATCTAATTCTGTGGATAGCTGACTGGCGACATATCCTAGGTCATATTCATCAAACTCCTCCTTAACATCAATTTTAACTTCCATAATTAATAAATTTCGAGAAAACTAAAATATTAACAATATGTTCTGAGTCTGGCCTGGAAAGAACCAGTTTTCCACACTATACCACTTATACTTAGTTCCACTGTGCTCTCTAAATTTTAGCCTTCAAAGTGTAAGCAACCACAGAGCAACAATGCAAAGGATTTTTACTTTACACTTGAACAAACAAAACTATTATAATTTATTTCTCTATGCTATTATACTAGATCTACTTGATGCATAAAAAGCTCCAAACTTGAAAGATCAGTTAATACTACTTCGATTATTGATTAATGTATAATGCCTTTTATCGGGTGCTTACTGTAAACCTTAATGTATTTTTCTGTTAAAATTAAAATGCTTCGCCTTTAAAATCCCATATGTCCCATACCAAAACAATTGAAACTAACACAAAAACAAGAGTTGAGTGGTTGAGAGGATGCGGATGAGCCGACGAGATGACAGATTGTGTTGTGGACAGATGATTTATTTATTGGTGTTTGGCAGTGTTGAAAGTTGAAATTTACTATACAAATATATGCAGTCAAAAGCAATAAGATTAAAAATTAATAGTTTAGATGTTTTAGAACTCTCTTACATATCTCTGTTTTATAGTCACTTTACACTACATGATTTTATCATGTGATTGTCATATGATTTGGTCATAGAGTGAAATTTACATGTTTACACTGTGTGATTTGTCATATGATTTTGTCATAAGCACTGTCATGCGGCTCGTCATAGCTTGTCACAGGAGAATAGGACGGTACCTATTCCCCATGACAAAATCATATGATTTTTGGTAATAATATCGGTAAGACCAACATATTTAAATATCGCGCCTTATTCTTATGTCAAAGTCAAGTCAATTTAATGAAATTCCCTTTCCCAGAGACAACATCCTTATCCTATGATTCATTTATTTGTTGTTGTTTGTTGGTTTGATATTGAGCCTATTGTCTTATCTGTGCTATTTTGTCGTATTTTTCATTTATTTTATTCTTAGTTTAGTGTTTTATAGTCTTCTTAGTCATAGTTTTAGTTTCTTTATTAATTTAGTATAACATAATATAATAGGTTCATTTATTATAGTGACATTTTGTTGGCTGCAAAAATGGCAAATAAGGTAGGTCATAATATATTCCATTACAAATTATAAAAATAATGAACGTTGATGTTTTCTTTTGTAGATTGACTGGACTCGTGAGCTTTCCCTAGCTTTGATCGATCAATATGAAATGAATCCATGTCTTTATAACACCAAACATAAGTTTTACAGCAATAAACATGCTCGTAACGAGGCATTAATAAAAATATTAGGAGAAATTAAAAAAATAAATAATAATATTGAATTCGAAGATATTAAAAAGAAAATTGCGAATTTGAGGCAGCAGTTTGCACATGAGAATGCCAGAATTCAGACATACCAAAAATCAGGGGCAGGAACTGAAGAAATAACAGAATCCTCACTTTGGTGTTTTGAAAAACTGTTATTTCTAATACCTCACATTAAGACACGGAAAACAAAAAGTACACTGGACTTACAAGTATGTTTTCTACTTTTATATTTTGTTTTGCATAATAAATGCCATTGAGAAAAAAAAATAATTTTGATATTTCTTACATATACTTATATCTATACCAAATTAAACCTAAAATAATACTAGTACAAATCAATAAATATAAGAGCTTTTCCCTATGAAGCATTGGTGAAATTACTACCTTCTTCAGCTATCTATTTTGTTTTTATTTTTTACTTATTGATTCCTCTTTGTTTTAAGACCTTCAGTGTCGAAACACTTTTTAAATAAATATTCAAATATCAGTAGCTACTTTTGACAAATTAAATTATCAAATCTGTTGGAAATTCATAGTTTGTGCCGTTAAAATGGCAAATAATTTTAAAATGTTTTTATTTACAATTACAGGGTGACGACCTTGAGGAACTTGAAGCCATTGAATCAAATTTAGAAAATGAAGAATCACTAAGCATCGCATCAACATCCACATCAACTCCCATTTCAAAAAAAAGGAAAAAAATGGAAAATAGTCCAGACCCAATAATGTCTGAAGCTGTAGCAGCATTACAAAGCATCCAAAATAACATAAAGAAGGAAAAAACATATTCAGCTGGTAAGCACCAATCATTTGCCGACTATTTGGCAAATGAAATGGAGAGCATTGTCGATGAAGAGCTCATAGCAGACCTTAAACATGACATTAACAATCTATTGTATAAAACAAAGAAGAAATGGTTAAATATGATAAAAGAAAAACATGAAACGATTGTGTTTGAAGTGGGTTCTGAATAAAAAATAATTTTAACATAATTTTTATTTTTGTTTTTTTTTTCATCCACCTTTCAATAAAATAATTATAAACACATAGACAGTATTATAACAGCTATAAAATATTTAGTTGTTACATAAAGTTTTTCATATAGTTCCAACTTAAATATACCCATTGTATGATAACTTTTATATCAATTTAAAAGTTAAATTTTTTAATTGCCTCCCATTGCCAGGGTACAAAACCCTCATTATTAAAGTAGTTGATAAATCTTTTTCTTATTTCTAATGGCTCATCAGCAGATCTATTTACATTTGATTTTTCTAAATTTGTCATATAAACATTAGATCTCCAAGCACCTTGACTTAGTGTTACATTTCCTGTATTTTCATTGTCAATGTCTTTCAAGAAATTTTTTTTTCCATCCTTTGCCTTGATGTAATTATGAAGTGCACAACATGCCAGTGTAATATTCTGCACTTTTTCAACATCCAAATTTATATCTTTTTGAAATACTTGAAAACGGTTGGCAAGCATCCCAAAGGCGTTTTCTACTACCCTTCTAGCCCGACTTAATCTATAATTAAAAACCTTCTCATTTTGACTACATCTTTGCCCACATTGTTTCATTAAATGAGTTGATAATCGAAATGCATCATCAGCCACAAAAACATATGGGACTTTGATATTACTCTTTGGCAAAACTGCATCTTCAGGAATATCAAGTAAGTTGTTTTCAATTGCTTTACATAGGGAACTATTATTGTATACACCTCCATCACTAGCTCGACCATTACAGCCAACATCAACATAAATGAAATTATAGTCTGCATCTACTAATGCCATTAAAATAATACTGTTGAAATGCTTGTAATTAAAATAATAAGATCCATCAGCTTTTCTTGCCCTAAAAGCAATATGTTTTCCATCAAGGCTGCCTAAGCACATGGGGAAGTTCCATTCCTTCTCAAATCTGTCTGCAATTTTTAACCATTCATCTTTGTTTGTTGGAGTTTTCAAATAGTTTGGCTTTAATACTGCATATATTGCATCAACTGTTTCAGGAATACATTTTGATAATGAGGGTACAGATATGCGAAAGGCATAACCAAGACTTCTAAATGTCTCTCCTGTTGCTAGATATCTTAATGTCACCAACAGCCTAAAATAAGTGACACATTATTTACTTTTTATAAAACTGTACTTGCTAACTTGTACTAACCTTGTTTTAGCAGATAAACATTCTCGTAATTGTGTGTTTGAACGTTTTATAAGGGGTTCGACTTTGTTTAAAAGTTCGGCAAAAGCATTTGATGACATGCGACAAAAATTTTTAAAACTTGCTGGGTCTTCGAATTTTAATTCCCTAAGCACTAAATTTGATATACCCCGTCCACTATCTCTTCGTAAAAGCCACCTGCGAGCCCAAAGGCGTCTGATATGTTTTTTCTTACTATTAGCTGTACGCAGTTGTTGCCGGCGTATTATTATTAAAAGGCAAGAAGCCAATGCAAGCCAAGATTCATTTTCCATTATAATAGTTTATAAATCTAATAGTTGATACCTATACCACTGTGTCTAATATACTTATGATCATAAATAAACAAAAGAAAAATCAACATAACCTCATTGTCACTCCTATCAGTCATATCATAAGTCACAGCTTTATCATGTAGTGTAAACACGATTTTTTAAAACATCATAGAAACAAGGAATCATAACAAATCTCATATGATTTTGTCATATGATAAAATCATGTAGTGTAAACTGTCTATTAGAATTATCAAAAAAGAAAAATTTCAAAAAAACACAGAATAATTGTTTCTTATTCTGTGGCATAAACATGAAAGAAGCGTAAATGTGACGACATATGACATAAGTCTTAAGTCTACATAATAAAAACAAAACAAATATGAAAATGATAGGTTAGGTACAAAAGTTTAAAAACAAAATTATTTATTTAGTATATTACATATAAATAACAATGAATGAATATGAAGAAGATTTTAATAAAATCTATTTTTTCAAAATACAAGATGAGTTGTTTCTTCCTCGCCAAGTATTTGAATCTCCAAAGTGGTGTATACCAGAATTACAATCAAAAAAGACTGAATTAAATATGATAAAAGGACGTCTAGGAAAGTATAAACTGAAAGTATGGTCTAAACACACTGCTCATAGAGACCGAGCTGGTTTTGTCATGAAAAAATTGGCTGAAAAAATTAAACCTGAACTTCTGACTCAAGTAATTATACAAAACTTGGACTTCTTCAATATTGGTGCAATGAACATAACCTGGCATCCAACTATATGTTTGTGTGACACAGTGTTGCCACTTTTTTTGTATAAATTATAGGAGTGTTTAAAATAGAAAGATACTTTGAGGAAATTATATATGCTTTAAAAAACTTATACAGAAGTAAAATGCTTCACATTTGTATTTAGGTATATACTTAGGTAAATGTGAAGTGTTTTACTTCTGTAAAATGTAAAAATGTACACGCCACAGCCACAATTTTTGAATTCATATTAAAAAGCATTCATAAAATAGTATTTTTTTATTTTAAATATAGCTAAATACTTTTGTTTAACCTAATTTTTTTTTCATTTAACTTTACTTTATTCTGTAATTTATAAAGTTTCTAAACTATTAATTTTCAAGCATAATTTTAATGGTTTTTATTATATAAGTATTTTTAAATGTAGAAATGCAAGATATAATTTTATTTTATAATATTTATAGGTATAATTTTAATGAATTATATACCTATGTATAGGTAAAAATATATATATTTTTCACATTTTTGTTTAATTATATATGTTATTTTCAATTTTACATTTTCATTTCATATAATATAAATCTTGCCAATAATTTTATATGTGAGAGTGGGAAATATTTGAGTATATGGCAACACTGACGTATATTAAGCTTACATTTAACATCAAACATATCAAGGAGGTTATGTTCATTGCACCAATATTGAAGAAGTCCCAAATTATACTACATGATGTCTACAAAAAATAAAGTAACCATATCTAAAATAGCGATTCTTGATAGAACATAAGATAGAGATTCTTGAACAAAAGGAAAAATATACTTCATCTACTATTACTTAAATATATTTCTTTAAATGGTACACCCTATATATTTTTTAGTTCTGCATAATCTATTAGATTTAAAATACTCATGTTCTTAAAGCTTTATAGTTCTAACTTTATTTATTTATACTATTCTCTCACCATTTAGCACTTATTAAATTATGTTACATATTGGAAAGATCTTTGATGCCAGTCTTATTATTGATAAAATTTTGATCTTTTTATGTAAATCATCTCCAATATGCATTGTTTTGTTGATATTTTGCTCTTTTTTCAAAATCAAAAGAATGGCTATTTTTTAAACTCTAGAGCAGTGGTGCCCAAACAGTTGATCGCAATCGACAGTCAATCGCGACAACTTCTGGAGTTGATCGCAACAGATTTAGATCCTGATCGAAATATTTCATGCTTCTGAGTCAATGTGACTATGCGACATTTGGCAAATGTTACTGATTATCCTCTGTTTCTTGTATAATAACCTGCAGTGACAGAGCATTATGTTAGTCTTTATTAAATTATGACAAATAGAAGTTGAAGAAGTAAAATAGCAATATTTAAAACACCAAATGAGTATGACAAATATCTCACATCAGGCTGACAGTGGGCACTCAGTAATTACACAACATTTTACAAAACAATTATAAAGTTTTTTCAGAAATCTACATATTTTAGTATCTAGGCTCCAGTCTAGTTGTAGTAGTCAGTAGTTGATCGCTTATCTTTAAAATATTTTGTGATAGAATTGCAGACACTACAAGTCTGAGCACCCTGCTCTACATAATGCTTGTCTAAGGCTGTCATGTTTAATTTGTTGGTTTGTATACTATGTTTGTGTGCAATAACCCTTGTATGTATTTATTGATGTGTTTACCCAATATATGTTGAATTGCAGTTTTTACAAATTATTTTATAAATCACATCCAACTGATAATCTTTATTAACATTGGGATTAAATTTTGAAAAATATTTTCAGAATGTTTTTGAAGATTTATGTTTAACATTAATATCATATTTTGCCAACATTTTTGACATTTGTTCAGAGAATCCATTAATGTATGGTATGGATATGTAGCATTTGTTTGATTTAGTTACCTTACCATTATTATTGCTAGGTATGGTTTGAGTTTGTTTTGGATTGGTATTGGAACTAGATTGATTTCTGATAATGCAACTTCTTTTTTTAATTAGATGTTTTTTTTTTCTAAGATATCTTTAACTTTTTTAAGATTTTTGGAATTATATTGTGGGTTAGATAGCTTAATTGCTTTGTCAGTTAGACTGAATACAACTTTTCTTTTATGGGTTTATAGGTATGTTAGTAAAATTTAGATATCCACTGGACCAAATATCTTTCATAAACCAGTTAATTGTGATCAGTCAGTTATTGTTGTTATACTCTAAACTTAAATCAAGAAAAGTAATTTTGTTGTTTTCTTCTAATTCATAGTGAATTGAATGTTATTATGGGAATTATTGTACATTTGAAGAGTATAATCGATTTCATGATCTGGGATGTAGAGTAAGCAATCATCATTCTTTGTAGAAATGTATGTTGTACTTTAATTTAGAAATGTCTGTTTTTTCTAATATTTCCCATTCTACTAAGTTTGCTATTGGTGCTGAGGTAGGCGAACCCATGGCCACTCCAGAAATCTGAGAATAGTATTCATTTTTATGTTGGAAAAATGTTGAGCTGAGCCATAATTTTACACCTTCTAGGAATTCTTCAAGTTTAAGAGAAATATATATGGTTTGGACACACTTTAAAACTAGTTTAATTGGAATGTTAGTGTAAAATTATTTTACATCGAAAGATATGTTTGCCATTATCTGATGCCAACTGTTTTGATCTTAAAGTGTGAAAATTGCATGAATGCAGTGTATGATAGTGGGTTTTACTGATTGCATTTCCCAAAATGTGTACAAAATACTTGGAGAGGTTGCATGTTGAGCTTGTTACTAATAATTGGGTGAGCAGGAATTCTCTTTTTTTTGTAGTCCATAAAAAGATTTTTAAAATAGGCACTACAAAAAGTCATTTGCATGTAAACTTAGTAAGTTATAGCTCTTAAAAGATAGACACTTTGATTATTTTAAGGAAAAAAGAGCAGTGTAATTAGCCTAATATCCACCAGAATCAAAATGAATTATTTTTCTTTTACATTACATTTTATTTTAGTGTTCTAATTAAATCCAGGATTTTCACTGATTTAAAAGGCATTATTTTTGCATAATATTCTCGTTTTTTATAATCTTATGTACAGTAAAAATAATGGAGATATCACTGATTAAATTAAATGTTTTTGTGTGAACACCCTCTGTTTCGAGTGCTTCAAACCTTAATTTTTCAAAATTGAAAGGGCTTGAACCTAGACTTATAGCTCTTAAAGTTATCTGTAAATAGCTATGTAAAAATATATCAATTCTTGAAGATTGACTTGACTTGTTGAAGAAAAACCAATGATATTTTTGGGAGATAATTTCATCATCATCATTAGCCATTTTGCGTCCACTGCTGAACATAGGCCTCCCGTAAATAATTCCATTGCATCCGATCTTGAGCAACTTGAATCCAGTTAGACTGGATGCACTTTAAATCGTCCGACCACCTTGTTGGAGGACGTCCTCGTCCATCTTCCATCTCTGACCCTAGCAACATGTCCTGCCCAGTTCCATTTCAGGGTTGTAATTCTTTCAACTGCGTCCGTCACACCAGTTTTTCTCCTTACTATCTGACTCGAAACTCCGTCCCTGAGTGATACGCCCAACATTGACCTCTCCATCGCTCTCTGTGCCACTTGTATCTTATTAATTACTTTTCTGGTAAGTGTCAATGTTTCTGTTCCATATGTCAGAACTGGAAGTACACACTGATCAAAAATTTATGAGCATGAAAAATATATATATTTTGGAGCTCTCACATATCTTAAGTACGCATAATAATAGTTTCGTAGATGAATATCTTGGCACCAACGAATGTTGAGTGCTTTGTACTGTTATTAGCATATGGGGTAATTTCTAAGGGTTAAAAAAGTTGTAACTAACAAAATAATGTTTTATAACCAAGGAGCAAATATTTATAGATTTAAATACATAAGTTTAGAATTTTAATGTCTACAAAACTATTTTTTAACAATGTAGTCGTCTTTAGGGGTGATTTTTAGGGGTTCAAGGGTTTAAACTAAAGAAATAACATTTCATAAGCGAGTAATGAATTTTTAGATATTTAAATGGAAAATTAAACAATTTTAAGGTATGCTTTCTAGGGTTTAAAAACTTGATGACCAATGAAGTATTATTTCAAAAGCGATGAATCTATTGTTAATGATTTTAATTCATAAGTTAAGAATTTTACTCGCAAAAAAATATTTTTTAACGTTATTTACGTCATACGCGGTGGTTTCTAAGGTTTCAAAATTTATATCAAAGTACAAATTAACATTAAATGTGTTTACTTTACTTAATTCAATGAGATTTTAATGCATAAAACGCTTAAATACATGTTTTCCCTTTTTTTTCACTTTTGAGTAGTTTTAACCCCTTAAAAACAAAAAGCACACTTCACACATATAAAACTTTTGCAAAGGAGGGTAAGACAAGCTTAAATCCAAATTTTCAGCTAAATCCATGCAGTGCAACTGATCACTACATGATATCAACGATTGTCAAATTCTAGGGAATAAACTGAGTGATGTAATAAAAACTCTTGAAGTTTCAATGCTAATGAATTTAAAGGTAGATATTACTTAAAGAAACAAAATGTTATATACTTCGTTTATAATATTGGTAGTAGCGAATAGCGAATAGGAGCATTTGAATAAAACATAATAAAATTAATAAAATAAGTGAATTGTTATAATTTTTGACTATTATAGTTATATTGAGAATATAACTGTAGAAGTTTCTGTCTATATAACTGTAGAAGAATTTTTGTTTATGTTAGAGAATATATCTGTTTGTTTAAGAAAGCTAGATTGGTATTTCAGAAGTATGGTGTAAATAAAATATAGGTAAAGAAATGATTGTATGTTATTAGTCAGAATTTCAAACAAAAATGGAAAGAGGTCCTAAGCATGAATAATACAATGTAAACGAACTCAAAGACACGAGCAGAAATAGAGAATATAAAGAAAATATAAACATGAAACTAGAAAATAGACTAAAACATAAAAACATAAATGATGAGTGGGAAGTGTACAGAAACATCTTAAAAGAAGCAACTGAAGATGTAATATGACATGGAACTTAAACAAAGAAGAAAGTAATGATTGAAAGATGTGTAATATATTGACAGAACAGCTAGAAATACTAAGAAGGAGGATAGAACATTTTAAGGAAAAGCTTGAGGGAGATAGGAGGGAGGCGAAACCTGATATACCATTAGACCAAGAAGACAACGGAGAAAATACTTCATCAACAATAGCGGAGAGTAGAACAAGAGTAGATAAATTAAAGAACAATGAATCACTGGGTCAGATCAAATAGCATCGGAGCTACTGAAAAAAGGAGGAGACGCATAAGTAAAAACAATACATAAGCTGATAACAAAGATATGTTTGATTAAGCAATTACCAGCGGAGGGGAATAGCGGTATTATTATCTCTCTCTTCAATCCTGTCCTCTGGAGGTCACATTATGATGTCATGTATTGACCGTATCTCTAAAGATCTCTGTCTCTGGTCATTTCTTTTGACTCATGCATAGGTCTTTTGCATATTCCTGTAAATTAATCGATCCATTTTGTTGGGGATCTTCCTCGCTATATTCGGTCTTCTACATTTCCTTAGTCTTTCCATGTTCTCTGTGTATAGATGTTGTCTATAGCATTTGCAGATGATGCTGACATAATCGCAAGGTCAAGAATAGAAATGATACGAAGCATTCAATCAAATATAACCAGCTGCGCAAAATAGTGGGCTTAAAATCATCAGGCTAAAACAAAATATATGCATGCCAATAAAAACGCAGAAATCACGCAGCTCCAAAATTTAACAATAGGAGAATACATTTGCTGGGTAAAAACATCCGTTTATATATTTGGGATCCCTAATTATGTCTAATAACAACATTGCAGAAGGAGTGAAGAGGCGAATATTCATTGCCAATAAGAAAAACAAAATGATAAATATGCAAAACCCTAATAAGACCGGCACTCAGATATGGTTCAGAAACTGGCCACTGTAAAAGTGAGGAAAGATTATTAGTCACATTTGAAAGAAAAATCTTGTGACACATATATAAAGTCACACAAGAAAATGGAATTTGGCGAAAATACTACTTTGAACTACACAATAAATAGACTAGGATCCGGATATTGCAACATTCATTAAAATAAGACGTCGGTGTTGGACGGGAAAGGTGGAAAGAATGGAAGAAGACAAAATACCAAACAAAATAAGAAAACAAGTGCCAGTAGGAAAAAGAACAAGTAGAAGACTCAATCTGATATACATAGAACAACGTTAAAAATAAAAAATTGGAGAAAAACAGCACGAAACAGATTAGAATGGAGAAGAAAAATCCCGGAACAGGCCAAAACTCAAAAAGAGTTGTCCAGTCAGTGATGACCAAAGAAATTTTTGATAATTTCATGTCTCATTTCATGATTTATATTGAAACTAGACTTTAACAGCAACTAAAAACCTTTTAAATAAGATTTTAAACTGTTATGAAATGGTTATAACGAAATATTAAAATAAAAATATTTTTCTGTTTTAGGCATGGTGCAAATTTTATGAAATCTTGGCACATTTTCCTGTAATTCCACTTTGTGCCGTGAGTAATAAAAAGCTTGAAAGTCTGCATTTATGTGAAGCTCCTGGGGCATTTGTTTGTGCATTAAATCACTATCTGACGCTGAACTATCCAGGTTTGGAAGTTAGTTTTGTTTACTTATTTTTTGAGATTAGCATATTCATACTTAATGGAACCTTTAATTAGTATTTGTAAATTAATTTTTTTTTAAACTTAATAGAAAAATCGTAATACAAATTAATCAAAAGCAAACTGAAATCCAACTGTTACTTACATTAGAACAGGAAAAAATTAAGATTTTACTGTTGATGGAGTAGGAAGCGTCTCAAATAGCTTCTTCTGCTCAAATGTCAATCTCACGTTCATGCAGTAAATCAGGTAAACCGACCTAATAACGGTGCAGTTAAGGAATATTTGACTTTAGACGTAAATATTAAGGAAACGAAATATTAGAGAAAATGGATTTAAAGTATATTTGATAGCTTGTTGTTTTCTTTATCAAAATAATTAATAAAAAAATAAAAAATGTTTTCACTAAAATGCAAAAAACTTTAATTTCGGCCTGTATATAAAAATAATTATCTTTTGATTTTTTTTAAACTATACACAACATTTTTTAAAATATTTTAAAGTAGGTAAACAAAATACAGAAGCATAAAAACATAATTTTTATTTAAAAAGCATAGAAAAACTAAATAAAATAAAACTATGTTTATGTAATATATTTTGAACAGAAAAAAAAACAACAAATTCTTTCATAAGCTAGTTCCCAACAGTCTTTTTTTTCATTAATTGCATAAGAGCAAAGAGCTATGAAAGACTTTTATTATTATTATTTTTCATATACAAATTATTTATCTAAGGTATAGAAAAAAGACCTCTTTTATTAATGTACTGAGGGGGTGCAATTAAACAATTTGCTCTGGATAATACCAAATAATGTAATGTCTTTGGCTACTTCCAATGATATCCTATTTTTTCCATAACTTTGATTTTTAATTTACCTTCTGTTGTTTCTTCTACTACTCCTGGAAAATGTTTCTTCTCGTAATCTATAATGCCGTAGTCACCTAGTTCGTAGTCGTTTACCTTTACATCCATAGAATTGTTAACTTTCGGCTATTTAGTTCTTTCACCAAATCTTTGTTTAAAATTTCTTTTTCTCTTTTATTTGCTCCACCTATATATCCTCTTTGTTTTTCTTCATTCTTAAGGTTTAGATTTAATTTGACAGCTTTCTAAATATTAATTTTTTCTGTTTTCTTGCCACAGATTCTGTATTTTTCTTCGTAATTTTAGGGGCTTTTTTCTTTTTCTTCAAGCTTATGTTTGTTCCTTGTTTCCTTTTCATTTTTTTCAGCTTATTTGATGCTCCATAAAATCATCAGCAATCGTTACTACAGGTGTTAATTTTTTTGTAGCCTTTCTTTTAGTCGTTAGAAATTTTGGGGGAGTGACAAAATAGGATTCAGCAAAATTTATGGGAGATTTATTGTCAAAATAGGTTTAGAAATCATAAACTATTTTGCGCCAAGTAGCTTTGACAGGTCGGAATATAGCAACATCAAGCGGCTGCATGGAATTTGGAATCAGTGCTACCAAAACAATTCCATTTTTACCATAAAACTCGCTCAATGCCAGAGATATATGGCTAACATGTTCATCCAAAAATATCACGAGAGGTCGCTTAATGTTTTTTTCGTTCAACCATTTATTAAAATAGTTTGCGACATACTCATAAAACGTTTCTGTATTCATCCATCCACTTTTATTGTACCTGATACCCCAACCTATTGGCATAGTTGGAACTAAATGTTTTGATAGCCTTCTATAGGGAAACAAAACCATTGGTGTTAGGATATCTCCACTAGCGGATATTGTTGCTAGTACGGTCAGACATTCTTTTTCGTTGTATACAGTTTTAGACCCTCTCAGAACTAACACTTGTTTGTCCTGTGGAGCCATCAAAAGGATGTCTCGTCACAGTTTAATATTCGGCTTGGATCTTTACATACATCTGTGATGTAATTTTAACTGAAATAATCGGCTAACTAGGAAGGAACGGCTAGCTGTCAGATTTTGCAATACACGAGGTCTTACTTCGGGATCCAGTAGCTCTTGTGAATATATTTTTCTTTGCATTGGCTTAGGCTTTTTAGTTCTGACCATGATTCTAGAAAAAGAAATAAATGTGAATAATTGAATTATTTTTGTAGATACCGTGTCAGGCTAGATTTGAGTTAGGCCGAAATTAGAGCACATGCGAAATATAAAAAAAACTAATACCACCCAGAATAAAATAATGTAATTTTAATGTTTTTTGTCATTAATTAATTGTCAGACTATATATTTTAAGTTACAAGAAAGAAAATTTTCCGCAAATCGCCAGGAAATTTTGACATTCCTGTCAAAATTTCTTGAAGAAAAAGTCAGGACTTCCTTACTGTAAGGAAATGTCATTTCTTTACTGTAAGGAAATGATATTTCCGTACAGTTGTTAGTGTTCTACATAAATGATAGAAAACACATTGCTTATAAGGAATTAATTTATATTTTGAAAACATCAAGTCATTGCTGAATGCATTTTTAAGATCAATTTGTTATATTTACAGTAATTTGACAGTTAGTACAATTATTAAACATTGGAGGAACACTCTTAGAACTATGAGAAACATTTTGGACAACATGCAGGGTGGAAGTGTCATTTTGTTGAATATTTTGTACTGTGAAAATTTTATTTGCCACCTCAACCTTATTGTTAAGCGATTCTTCGATATATCCTTCAGCAACGTTTGATGACTTCCATCCGCCATGCCTCTTTAAACTAGTTATGTCGGCACCAGAGTCAACCAATATTGTTGCAGAAGACCGACGAAAGCAGTGACCAGTATATTCTGTCGGATTTACCAAGTTCAAATAAGTAGCAATTATTTTGGGCATTTTTCTAAATTGATGAATTCCTACCACTTGTCTACAACCCTTTCCGCTTTGATATTTAAAGAAAAATCGGTCACTGTTCATATTTTCTGGTCTTAACGAAACATACTTTCGATAAACATTCAAGTAGATCTGATTAATTACAAATGATCTTGGTTTGTTGGTTTTCGAATCAGGTATGCTGATTAAAAGCTTAGATTCTAAGTCTTCTATATCGTGTACAGTCATTCGGACTAACTCATCCATTCTACAGGTCCCAGAAATACCAAATATTACAGTCACCTAAAAAATAAATAAAGCTATAATCTAAATAGAAATTAGAACCTTGTAAATTACCTTAATCATTAAATTTTCTTTATCTGGAGCTTCCTGGATAAATTTTTCAATTTCTTTCTTCGTTAAAATCTTAGATTTCTTTGCCCTATAACCTTGACCTTGCCGTTTCAATAAAGAACGAAGTTTTGAGTATGTAGATATATCTACATTGTGTTTAAGTGCAAGGGTTGACTTCAGCATTGAATAATTGGCCCATAATGTTGAAGATTTCATCTTTAAACAAAGGTCTAGGAAGTATGCCATTACAACATTTTCTGAGAAAGAACTCGTATTTTTACTCATGCGATAATCCATAAAACGTCTGTATGTATACTTTACTTTTCTCTTGATTTCTTTGGCAATAATTCTAATGAAGCAGTATTCACTGCCTCAACCAGCTCTGGAGGAGTCCCAGGAATGGAAATTTCATCATCACTTATCATTTTACTTTCGAGAACACCAGCAATTAAATTTATAAGCGTCAAGTTTGACAATTCAACCTCAATACGTTTCCATAGTAACCCAAGTAATTTTATTAGGAATTTCAAAGCACCATTTATTTGGGAATAAAATTATTGCGTTTTTTTTAAATCAATCAATATCTGTCGAATTTTAAACGATTTGCGGAAAAATAGTATGTTTACCTCGTAGGAAAAGCCACATTCCTGGACTCTGTGTTGCTAAGTCTCGGCTTGCGCCTCGACTTAGCAATCTTTACAGTCATCCAGGAATGTTAAGCTTTTCCTACCCGGTAAACAATGTACTATTTCTTTGGGAAACAATTTGAGATTTTTTCAATTTCCTACCATCAGAAATAACCACTTGACATTCATAGTTGACATTCATAGTTGTAAACTTCCTTTTTTGCTTTCATAGAAACAAAAGTATCGGACGGAATTTTTAAAAGAATATATTACTTTTTTTGAATAATGTTTGATGTTAAAGAACAAAAAGTCGATTTGAAAAAAAAAACCACCAATATTCGCAATAACAGCTCATTGAGCCAGAATTAGATTACCTACTAAAATTGTGTCCTAATACCGACCTAATCTATTTTTGTACATACTACTTTGTTTTGGCTTAAAAACTAAAATGTTTTATAAAAAATACAACTATTATTACTATATATATATATTAATACTAACCATTTCTAATGAACAAACTACTGCATGTAGGTGAAAAAATATTTTATGTAATAATTTGCAAGTAAATATTGTAACCAATGAATTTCTCAATGCTTACCTGAAACATTAAGTATTGACGACCGCTCTCGAATTAATTGCGTCGCTTGATTAAATCGAACTGACTAAAACAAAAGCTAGAACATGTCAACCCACCATTTATACATAAAAAATGTTTATTTAAGTTTAACTAACTTAAATATTTACAGAAGAATTTCAATTTTTTGAATAGGCCGGATTTACATCACGAATTTGTATAGGCCGTTAATAGGTAGTTACCTTACTCCATGTTAAATAGCGGCTGCCCCAATGATGCTGCCCCTGTCTAATATCTTTTTTTGGTACTTGCTCTATTTTCTTTCACTGCTGTACCCAAAGGAGCACGTTCCATTGCATTGCACAGTTCGGTAATAACTGAATCATTTGTATAACCCAAAGTGCGTAATAAAAAATTACGACAAACTTTAACAGTGTTTCCATCGGCTTTGGGCAAATAAAACTGACGCGTTTTATTTTTTTATATATATTTTCTGTAGAAGTGACTGTGCGTCTGTTAACTGTTTTGATACAAACATGTTTTGAGAGCCATACTCGTCGTTGGCTATAGTTAGTCTGCCAATAATCTTTCCATATTTTTTTTCGATCTTCATCAGAAAAATCTTTGCATTGAGTATCTTTACATTTCTGTAA